GATAGATAGATAGATAGATAGATAGATAGATAGATAGATAGATAGATGGATGGATGAATGGAAGGATAGATAGATACATAGATACATAGATAGAAATATACACACAAAATCTGTATCTCTATATGTATATATGTTTGTACTTGGTTGTTTTCATGTTTTCTCTGAAATTAGACTTTGAATTACATAGAATCTTTGCCTTTCTTTTTATCTTCAGTGGCTAGCACCATGCTTAGAATATTGTAGGTACTTAGTAAATGGTTGTTGATAGACTGACAATGCCCTAGGACACAAATTCTTAACCTAGAGTCTATGAACTTGTTTATAATAACGTTTTCAAAACTACATTTCAATAAAATTAGTTTCCTCTTTAATCTTTGTATTTTATGCATTTTAAAACATTATTCTGAAGAGCATTCCTTAGACTTCAACAGACAGCCAAGGGGTCTATGACACACACAGAAAGTTAAGAACTCTTTTTCTAGAGGCTAGGGGTATCAGGAAAGATAATATAGAAGCTTGTGCTTCAGCTGAGATTTGAAGGAAGCTAATGGCTTTGAAATAATAGAGATGAGGCAAGAGTATATTCTGGACCAGAGGGATTCCCAGAACAAAGCACAGAAGTGAAAGATATAGTGTCACATATGAAAAGTGATAAAAAGGTCACTTTTTGTGTGTAAAGGGAGTGACATGTAATAAGTGTGTGTAGAGGGAGTGATATGTAATAGGGATGGAAAGGTAGATTAGTTTCAGATTGCAAAGAGTTTTAAATGCCAGATGGAGAAATTTATATTTGACAGTTTAGAAAAAGGAAAGACTTGAGGCAGGGAGATTGGTTAGAAGGCTATTGCAATAGTCCAGGTGAAAGATGAGGGCTTTAACTAAGGTGGGATGGCTTTATGAGTAGAGACAAGGTAGAAACAAGATTTGACTATTGATTGGATATTTGTAGTGAGTAAGTTTTCAAAGATGACACTACATGCCTGGGTGACAGTGAGATTGACTGGTACCCTTATCAGCAGGCAAGTTACAAAGAGGGGTGGATTAAGGAATTAAGCTAGATGAGTTCTATCATCGACATGTGTTTTAAATGCCTATTGAACATCCTCAAACTAAAATACCCACCTCGACAATTCCCACCCCCCAAAACTCTTCTAGCTAACTAGCATTTATAAAATGTTTTAAGGCTTTCAAAGAACTCTTCTCAATGATTTCCATTTAGTCTTTTTTCATTTGGAAATACATCTCTAGTTTTATAATTAAGTCCATAGGAATAAAGCAAGTATTTGAATTATACTGGGTTATTTTAATTACGCAGGGGGTTTCCTGGAACTGTTAGAATTCATTCCAAGGAGAGGTTTTCCAAGCTTAATTCACCTTTGCTGTAAAAAAGCAATGGTTAGGTCATTGAAGAATGATTTAACATAATATAAACCTCAAGATTCTAGTCTCAAAGTAGAAATATGAAATATTGCATAGAAATTCTGGCAATGCAAGATCAGCTTGCCATGGTCTGAGAAGGACCTGAACTAGGGTAGTGACTGTAGGAATAGAGGAGGGAAGAGATGTGAGACACATGGCTGAAGTAAAATTGGTAAGATTTAACAACTATTTGTATGCTAGAGGCCAAGGGAGAAAAAAGTGGAGTCAAAGATGGCACTGAGGTTTTGATACCTAGCGAATCAACACTTGGAGCATTTAACAGGAAACCAGGAAGAAGTACTAGTTTGGGAATAAAACATGATGGTTCAGACTGGGACATAAAATCAGAATCATAGAATTTTAGATGGGACCTTACAAAGCCAAGTGAGGAAGAAAAGAGAAGAAATAACTTTCCCCAGAGCATATGAGTTAAGGAAATAGTAGAACTTGAATAAAGTGAATGCCAGTTGATAATAATTATTATTCACAAATGGGCCATAATCAGATTCACTTTCCAACTTTGTTAAAATGTGCTTATTCCATAAATGTAGAGAATCTTAGACTCTTCTGATAACTCACATTTCTACTGCACTTTGGGGACATAATGCACATTCACAGCTATATGAGTCTAAGGGCCATCATTTCCAGGTATATAGGTGAAGAATGCTAGCATGTTGAAGGGACTCTGGATACTACCAAGCTCAGTTACCTCCTTTTTGCAAATGAATAAGTATGATATGGAATGCTTACTTTTCACATTTACATTCCAATGGGAAATCCCCAAGACAGTCATTCCCCTTAATACCTTCAATCTAATTTGTGAATCCTTTATCTGGCAGAACCATCTGAAGAAACTGTTTCATAGAATTAGAAAAGAAGATCATATATTTAGAGCTATAAGTGATATTAGAGGTCATTGAGTCCAATGCCATCATTTTACAGAGGAGAAAACTGATGCTTAGAGGTGATAGGTGAGTTGCCTAAGGTCACACTTAATGTATGGAGGTAGAATTAAAACCCATGGTTTCTTGACTCCAAATTTAGCACTCTCTACACTACGCAACACCGCTTCTCTTTCCTCTTCTCTTCATTCAATTGAATCTTATTTAAATTAATTAGCTGTTATTGAGTGCCTACTCAAGTAGAGACAATGAATGGAGGGAATATTGGCTGGACTTGTGATTCCATTGGCATAGGGGATTGCCCGATAAAGGCACTCTCTCTACAATACGACTCACCTATATCTTTCAGGAAGATCTTCACAACTTCTTAAAAGGTACTTAACTTGAAGGAAAAAAGAAAAGAGAGGCAAGAAGGAAGAGGCTCATTGTTGTATCTTGTTGATTCACCTCCTCAATATATTTCATATAGGTCTGCTTCCCCTCCATTCAAACAATTACTACCCTAATTTAGGAATGGAGTGTGTAGAATTAAGCAACCTTAAAAAAAAAAATCATTGTGCTTCAATACCTCAAGGATCTTTGATGGTTGTTAAAATAGTCACATATAACCCATCCCACCAAACCCCAAAACTATCACAATTTCTCAAAGGTGGTCTTTGAGAGCTATTGAAGGTGAGAGTGCAATCAACCTGGTGGTGTTATTGTTGCTCAGTCGTTTTAGTCATATCTGACTTTTTGTGACCTCATTTGAAGTTTTCTTGGCAAAGATACTAGAATAGTTTGCCATTTCCTTCTCCAGCTCATTTTACAGATGAGGAAACTGAGGTGAACAGGGTGAAGTGGCTTGCCCAAGGTCACACAGCTAGTAAGTGTCTGAGGCCAGATTTGAACTCAGGAAGATGAGTGTTACTGACTCCAGGCCCAGCTCTCTAGCCACTATACCACCTATCTGCCCCTGCACCATCTAGTTGGCTCTGCACTCATAACCTTCCTGTTTGGTAGAATGTGACAAAGTT